AAAAACAAAGAAACGTAAAATATCGTAAATAATTCCACTAGACAGAGATAGCAAATGTTTGGATTTTTTTGGTCAATCCATGCCTATTTCCCTTAATACAATAATATATAACTGTTTTTAACAATAGTATGTTATTGAATATGAATTTTTTCTAAAGTCAAACTTATTGAAGTAAAATATATAAAGGCAAAATTCAGAATCTTTACTGTGTAGTTACATGAATTTTGACAAGCATAATCGCTTATGAAACCACCAGCATGATCAAAACAGAGCCGTGCCGTCACCACAAAATATTTCACATGCTCCTTTGTAGTCAGCCTCCTCCCTTGATTCCCAGCCCCTGGCAACTTTGATCTGATTTATGCCCCTATAAATTCGTCATTTTAAAAATGTCATATAATTGGAATCAAAGTATGTGAAATTTTGTGTCTCTCTTGTTTCACTTAGAATAATGCTTTTGATGTTCATTCATGTTGTAGCAGGTATAGTAATTAACTTCTCTTTATTCTTGTGTAGAAATCTGTCATATGGACGTACAGCAGTTTATTTATTCACCAACTGATACACATTTGAATTGTTTCTGGTTTTCAGTGATTATGAATAAATTTGCAATAAATATTCTTTTATAGTTTTCAAATGGACATATGTTTTAACTTCTCTTGGGTAAATACCTACAAGTGAGATTGCTGGGCCATATGGTAAGTGTATGTTTACCTTTCTAGAAAGAATGTAAGATTTTGTAGTCTATGTTTTTAGAAACTTTTGGGAGGAAACAATTACAGATTCACAGGAATTTGCAAAGGTAGTACAATAGGTCCTGCGTACTCTTTACCCAGTTTCCCTCAATAGTTAAATCTTACATAATTATATCAAAACTAGAAATTAGACTTTGATTAAATGCATGTATATAATTTGGTGTTCTTTTACTGCATGCATAGATTTGTGTAATTAGCACCACAATCAGCATATAGAATTTTCCACCACCACAAAGATCTCTGTCATGCTACCCCTGTATAGTCACATCAACCCCCTGCCCAACAGCCATCTTTAACCCCTGGTAACCAGTAATTTGTTTCCATGTCTATAATTTTGTAATTTAAAAATGTTATAGAAATTGAGTTATAGTATATGAGTTTTGGAGATGGGCTTTTTCACTCAGCATAAAGCCCTTGAGATCCATCTAAGTTGTTGCAATTATACATAATTCATTCCTTTTTATTACTGAATAGGAGTCCATGGTGCAGTACTAACATTTGCTTAACCAGTCACCTACTAAGGGACATTTTGGTTGTTTCCAATTTTGGGCTATTATAAATAAAGCTACTATGAACAATTGTGTGCAGGTTTTTATACGGATATGTTTTCATATCTCTGGGATAAATGCCCAGAAGTATAATTACTGGGTAGTATAATAAGTATATTTTTAGTTTTTTAAGCAACTGCCAACCTGTTTCCAGAGTGGCTGTACCATTTTACATTCCAAACAGCAACATGCAAGAGATATGGGTTCTCTAAGTATTTGCCAGCATTTGATTTGGTCACTATTGTTTATTTTAGCCATTCTGACATTCTACTAAAACTACTTTCTACCTTTTTTTTCCCCCTATCGATGCAGTCAAAAGGTACCACACATTCTTTCGTGGAGACCCCACATTATTTTGCTCCTGGGACTTTGCTTATGCTGGTCTTCTAAAAAATCAGTCACATTCCCATCCCCACATATTCAAATATCCTCAAGCCTTGAGGCCCAATTCAAAGGCCACATCTTCCAAAAACGCCATTGCCTATCTCTCAGATCGAAATAATATCTTTCCTAGACACTCTATCCGGGCTTCTGTTATGGCAGTTTATGTTGTATGTTCTATTGAATCATTTATTTTCTGACACAAGTATTATATCTTCCCTACTAGGTTGCTAGATTCTTTAGGGCAGAATCATTTTTTAAATTTATTTGTGCTCTCCTTACTTCCAGCACTTAGGGTTTTCAAGCTTTCAATGAATAAAATTCAACATGACTCCTAAAAATTGATGTAGATCTTCATTTTTTGATTGACATTAGTATCACATGGGAGGCATCCCTCAAAATAAACAAAAAACAAACTAAACAAAAACCTTGCTAAACGTAAAATAATTTCTCTCTTCAATTTTAAATTCCACTCCTGTCCCCCCAGCAGTGTTAGTAACCAACTAATGATATAGTGGAAACTAAAAATGTCAGATGAAGGAAATTACTAGAGCAAAACTTTGGTTCTCATTACTATTTAAGGATTAATGTATTCTGATTAGCTGAATTTTTCAGATAGATGAGGCTATATACCTTTTAAAAAAATCTCAGCTCATTTTTTAAGAATTGAGCCTAATTTCACTAGAATATCACTAGAAGCCAAATATCTGTATTATGTGCTAGCTTTACTCAATGGACATCTTTTAAAAAAACACTTTCACAGATTCAATTGAAGAATGGTTTGTATGATCATTTTCCATCTCTTCCACTAGACTATAGTCTCTTAGAGGTCAGAGAACGTGTATGTTTTATCATAAGTTTAACAATGGGCTCTCACACAGTTCCAGGCAAATATAGGAATTTAGTATACTGGGGATGCCATTTTTGTCAAAAAAATGTACACAAGTTGACTCTTTGTTCAACGTTGCTCAAGCAGTAGTTTGCTGTATTCAGAAGTGTCTGGACACTAATGGTAACCACTCTGAGCATCTCTTGTAATTGCAGAAGTCAAACATGACTTATATTCATCTTTGGTATCAGTATATATTGAGTATTACAATTTTAATACAGTTTTCCTTTTTAAAAATATGTATATATATATATATATATATATATATATATTTTGGCACCGTCTGTATATTTATAGTATTCATGTGGAGTATTATGGGGTCTATTGGATATACCATAACACCTAACCTCGGCCTTAAAATTTTAACTTTTTAAATCACCTTTTGGTAATTTGTTCCCATACCTGAGAATTCTCTGTTTTCATATTTATTATTAATTTCCCCATTCTTTTTTCCCCCCGGCATAATGAATCAAGATTGTGATATGACACAAGGGTTAGTGCTATTTAACTTGTTAGTTGATTTAATAGAAATGTTATGTGGCCTGGTGCAAGCCACTGTGCACAGCACTTTTGGTGTCCCTCGGTGTATTCCAATTTCTCTTTTTATAAGGACACCAGTCAGTTTGAGTTAGAGCCCACCCTAACTCAGTCACTGCTTTAAAGTCCCTCCCTCCAGATTTAGTCACATTCTGAGGTACTGGGGATTGAGGCTTCAAATATGAATTTTGGAAGGACACACTTCCGTTCAGGCAGTGAGTGTCTGAGATAAGTTAGTTATAGGTGTAGGTAATGTGATTACTACAGTGTGTGGTGTTTAAGAGCCTGGGCTCTGGAGTTTGTCTGTTATCATTTGCAATGACCACTGCTTATAGGCTGTATGACCTTGGGGAAGTTAGAATCTCAGCAAACCTCAGTTTCTTTACTTGTAAAAAAAGAATGAAATGGCGCTTACCCTTTACATGTATTCTTGTACCTGTCACTTAGTAAAGTGCACAATAAGTGCTAGCAAGTTCCATGTTTCTCTGCAAACAATTGTATAAAAATATCTAGATCAATTTTTCCTAACTCTGCTTTCAAATCTAACAATTTTGATCTTGCGTATTGTATTTATACACATAATATTTTACATGTGAAATATGCAATACTCCTTTGCCAAAGCTCAGTATACTAGCTACTTCAGAATTAATTTATTGTGAAATTTTTTTTAAAGGACCGTAGTTCCATAATCCTGTTTTCTACAGTCAGGATTAATCCTTGTACAAGATGGGACGTGTTCAGGGTGGTAAGCGAAATAAGTCAGACAGAAAAAGTCAAGGACTGTATAATTTCACTCATATGTGGAATATAAAACTGAAAGCAACAAATGAACAAGACAAACAAACAAAAACTCAGACACAGACAACAGTTTAGTGGCTATCAGAGGGTAAGGGGGGAGGCGGGTGGTTAGAAAATGGTAAAAGGGGTCAAATATATGGTGATGGAAGGAGAACTGACTCTGCGTGGTGAACATACAATGCAACATATAGATGATGTATTACAGAATTGTACACTTGAAACCTATGTAGTGTTACTAACCAATGTCACCCCAATTCATTTAATAAAAAAAGATTAATCGTAGGAAACGTCAGAATGCACTAAATTTTCAGGTGATAGTGTGGAGCCATGAACAGGGGTTCAGGTAGCATGAACTGTAGGGGAGAAACTGAATATTCTATTTAAGAGCCAAATATCCAATAGGTAAAACTTAATACAGTTAAAAATGAGATATTGAAACTTTCATGTTTTCTTAATCCTAATCTATTAAAAGGAACAATCTATAAATAGTAGGGTCTGTATACTCAGTGATTAGAGAGTGCCTATCCCATCCTGTTCTGAGATAAAGTGAGATGCTTATCACTATAGTCTCATAGGCTTCCTAGACAAACAGAAAGGAATTCTCAGAGGGAGTGAGATTAGCTGAGAGTGAAGTTAGCTGTTAGTGGAACATTTCAAGACAAGGTGTGTAAAGGCTGTTTTTCAGTTAGTGTCTTTCACGAAGGAGAGTATAGTAGAGATGTTAAATTCAAAGGGAAAATATGAGAATTATAGGAAAGGAAATAAAAAATTAAGAAAATAAAAAAGAAGTTACTTCATTCTAGGATCTGTTAGGACATTTACTTTCCAACCATGCTCACAACACACTTTTTCCCCCACAAGTCATTATGAGTGTGTGTGTGTGTGTGTGTGTGTGTGTGTGTGTGTGTGTGTGTGTCTGGATTCTCTTCGAACTGCCAGAAAGGATTTGAAATAACCACATATGGTGTAAAAGGTAAGAAAGTGGCAAGGCTGGGATTACCATCTAACCTAGTTCCTATTGTGTCATTTGTTAATGGTGCCATTTGGGGCAGGTAAGGAAAGGGTAATGATACTTACTTTGCTCTCTCACAGCATTGCATAAACAAATGAAGAGATCTAATAAATGGCAGATTGGAAAGATGTGGAAGGTGATTTAATGGTAAGGGACTAGAGTTATTTATTAAACTATTGTGATCATCAGATTTAAACAATGATCTGATAACTTTGTGTTCAATGAGATTACTGGTCTACAAAATCTTGTGTATGTCATTGTTTTCTCATCTCTTCCTTGTGTTTCAATATCCTTGATGTGAATACAGATTCTGGACCGCTTGATACATGTGTTGAATTGTAGCATTCATACTGTTTATAACTTAGCTCCATTCCTTATTAATGAGAAGAAAAAAGGATTTTACATGTCTGATGAATAATAATTGAAACAGCTGGGGAGGAAAAGATGGAATTTAGAACTTAAGAAAAGTACTCTGATAACCTTATATAACAGTATTCTGCTAACCCAAACCCCATCCTCTAACGCCTCAGTCCCATTCATTTAAATTTAAATTTGGTCATTTTCAAAAATAGGACTGATTATGTAAGCATGTGATGCATTAACAGAGTATGTGGTGAATCACCTCTAGATTTATATCATTCCTGAAATGAAATGGAAAAAAATCCCTGATGCCATGAGCCAGCTGACGTGAACTTCCAATATTGCAGGCGCTCACTGAATCTTCTTCAGGCTACCTTCTCTTCTTAGAGTAGGTTATCAGTTCCAAACCTCTTATTCATCATTTCAGAAGGTTCTGGGTGGCAGTGAGAAACTCTTTTCCAGTAAGAAGGAAACCAACTCCTTCCACCTTTCCTCATAGCAGAGATTCTTTAGAGATGCAATCATATTTTGGCTCTTTTGTTCCACCCAAGCACCTCTTCCACTCCTGGGAATACTGTCCATTTGGGCTACATTTGGGGTTCATCAGAGCATACGCGTGGTACACAGTCACCAACTCTATTGTAAGGCATTGAATTTCCTTACCACCAATAATAAAGTGTACGGTTGGGACACATTTCATATAGTCTGACAGAGCAAATGAAAGATTAAAAATTAGTATTGGTATGTCAATATTTAGAAGAGGCTTACAGATGGGGCTGAATCAATGATGGTTGAAATCTAGCAATGACTTTTGCAAGTTTTAAATGACTAATGCTTTGATTTGTTTTAGGTATTGTGGTTTAGAAGATAATGATAAAGTGAAAAAGACAACTTATATCTTGACTTTTTAATTTCACTTCAGAATGTGTTGAGAATGTTATTCTATGTTGAATAAGCTTAATCTGTTGTTGCAGTTCACGTTCAAGAGATGTTGACTTTTCTTGGACTCTCAGAAATTACCTAGTACAACTACATCATTATAATGACATAAAAATGCAATACCAGCTATTGTTAACTATAAAGCTTATCACACATACTTGGAATGGTTCTAAGCATTACACACACACACACACACACACACACACACACACACACACACACTACCTCTAACTCTTATTACATATTAGGATACTGAGGCTGAGGAAAAATCAGTGACTTGCCCAAGGCAACCATAGCTAGTAATTGGTGAGTCAAGACTTGGACCCAGATCTATCATACCCCAAAGACAGGTTCATTTCCATTACGCTGTGTTGTTGCAAAGACAGGAATAGAAACAAATTTCCTGACTCCCCATTCTCTTCCCATTAAGCTATGATGGACGTCAGTTTTCTAACTCATAACAGTAATGGAGTTTGAACTTGCTTTCCATATTCACTAATTTTTACTAAACCATTGGAAAGAAACAAAGCTAATAGTGCAGACCATGAAACTATTGATTATATTTTATAGGAAAGAAATTATTTTATGAAAAAAGAAAAGGAAATACTTTGGCTTTGGTGTTATTCAGAATATTGACATGATCCCTTCGATCAGCTTTTCTGGAACAGTGTTTAAAAGGGTTTTGATCTAATAAAGTCCAAAACTTTCCTCCGATGGATGTGGAGGACTGGAATCAAATCTTTTGGCTCTGGCTTCAGTCACTTTTGCACACTTCTTCAGATGCTCTCTTAAACTGAATAATGAGGCACTACAGGAGTAAACTTAACTTAAGGGAAATCTGATTGAAACAAGTTTTCCAAACTGTAACTTCAGAGTGATGGGCTGTGTGGGAAGTTAAACCTTGAGTCTCTAAAATTTATGATTATTATGTTTTTTAGACTATAAGATGAAGCTTTAGAATATAAAATATCCTTCAGATTGAGGATTTAAAAAAATAGTTATGTGCAAGCTTGGATTTCACAAAGTTTCTGCCGTTCCTAATAATGTGTGATGGGGAAGCAGTGTATGGCAGTCAACAATGTTGAACTTGTGGTCTTTCAAGTGTCACCTCTGCCTCTTCCATCTAAATGGCGTGCTCTTGGGAAAGTCCTTGTTCCTTCTCTGAGTTTCTGTCTCTCCATGTACTCAGTGATAGAAGCTAGGTTATCTATTAGGATCTTTCAACTTTAATTTATATATAAGTCTGTGACACTGAATTGAGACACTCCAAAACATCTGTAGATGGCAGCAACAAGAATCCTAGCTTCTCTTACTCTAAGGAGCTTTCTCCAGATGTGGTGAAATTTCTAAATGTTTAACTGACTGGTAGGACAACCAATCTGCCTTTTTGTTTCTCTTCCCCTCCAACTTAAGAAGGGAGCCCAGTTAGAAACATGTTTGTCTATGAGGCAATGTGTCTTATATAGCTGAGGATTTCAATTCTTATATAGGACTATGGAGTATTAAACTTTGAGTAGGGTTCTTGGACTCAGTGTATTGCTTTTTGAGGAGGTTATCATGAACACACACTTTGAAATACTATATCATGAAATACTACTTTGGAAATAGACATTATCTATTCAAATCTGCTACCTGGACAGGATCCTTTAGGATCTTTTAGGATGGAAGCAAAATTAGTATGGTATAAGTCCTGCAAGACCTGGAACAACTGGTTTTTTGATGTTGACTGTTGTGGGTGTCAACTGTATATATAAAAGTAAGCTGCATCTCCACGGGTTCAGTCCTAGAGCACCAGCTGGTGAGCAATGCACGGAGCAGACTTGTAACCAACTTACATCATCTTCACCATGAAGATAGCCCCAGTGTCAGTACTTCTGACTCTGGCCCTTTGCCTCATACAAGGTAAGCAATTTGCATGTAATCTAAGTCTCTCGCCGCACATTGCAAAGCCTTGGGCAGGAACTACTTTCCTTCTCCCGCCCAATATATATATATATATATATATATATATATATATATATATATATATATATATATATATATATATATATATATAGTATTCAATGTTTTATATGTATATATCATCCTGAAATATCTTGCCAGACACAGTTTTAAAGAATTATGTATGTGGCTTTATGGCTATGTTGTTATCTTTAGAATTGGCAAGTAGTTTGAGATCGTCTGAATTTTTTTTCCATGAGAAATCATTCCATTAATTCTACATTAGTTCTAAAAAGCTAATAGATTCTTTGTCATCTGCCTCTTACCAAGCATATCAATTCGTACTGATGGGAATTATGGATATAATATTTAAAACTTCAATGTGTGTTATATATATTGACATATTTATAAAAATATTTAAAAATTAAATCCAGTCATCTATTCTTATTTTAAAGCAATAGTGCCTTCTAGCATATTTTGTTTTTGTGTTTTCAAATCCTAAATGGATTGAAGGCACTTCTCCTAAACAATAAGGGACTTTTGTGGAAACTATGAGGTGGGTTTTTGCACTTGCTGCTTGAATTTAAAGGGAATAGAGATTGTGTAGAGTTATCTTGCTCTGAAGCATTTATGTTTTTAAAAAGGAAACCTAAGACGAAAGGTCAGGAGATCAATATACAAGTGATTCCCACGTTCCTAAAACAAATGTGTAGGTACAAAAAGCAGTCTGTTAATGAGGAGTGTAATAGTCTGTGGTTTTAATTAATCTTAATTTTTATCAGATTCCTAATTTTTGTAGCTGTAATAGGAGGCAGTGGTACCAAAATTCAGAAAATTTAATTTTATGTGTATATACGGTATAAACTTTATGCTACATTGTACTTTCAAATTACAACTGATGTGCTATAATTGATATTTATTATGTTATAATTTTAAAAGAGGTCTGACATACTTTGCTGTGAAAGAATTTTTTAGAAATCAGATATTTTGAGGAGGTCAGGAAGCATATAAGTATTATTTTCCAAAGTAATTGGACCATTCTGACAGATTGGACCTTTCTGAGTAATTGGACCTTTCTGTGTGTATATTACTAATCTGCTAGTACAGTGTCCTTATTTTATTTGCCATGGTAAATTTTAATATGTTCCAAAAAATTTTTATAATATATTGCCATTAAAATAAGCAAGGTGCTATACTGAGTGAATTGTTTATTTCTTAAATTTTTTATCTTCCCTTAACTTTGGTTTTTGTATTTTTGTCCCAGATGCTGCCAGTGAGGATGAAAATCAGGTTAGTCCTGCTTTTTCTGTTCATTGACTCCATTCCAAGATCTCTAAAGAAAAATAGTTTGTGGCCAACACCTTAATGCAGGCATATTATACTGATAAGTACTAATAGCTTTTGTTAAAAATACAGAAATAGGTCATTATGAATCAAACCATGACTCTCAGACACACACACACACCTCAGTGTATTAATAATAATGGATGTCTGCAAGAGGTCATCTACCATGCTAAAGGAGTGTTTTGAAATTCCCAAAACGCACTGTGAATTAGTATTGTTCGGTTTAACAGCTGAAAAACTCGGGACACAGAGGAAGCAGAAATAAGTTTTCTTGTAATCATTATATTAAAAAGGAGTTCTCTATATCTTGTGTATGTCAGCGTATATATGCCATTCAGTAAATGTTTATTGAGCATCTATTATGTTTCAGACCTTGTTTGAGATGCTGGGGATATTTAAATAGCAAAGGAAATTGATAAGACCTCTGACCTCATGGAGTTTATATCTTAGTGGAGGAAAACAGACAAGTTAATAAGTAAATTAGTAAAATGTATAGTACATTAAATGATGATTAGTGCTAGGAGAAAAATTAAGTAGGATGGAAAATAGGAATTTCTGGGGAAAATAGGAGTTTCTGGGGATGGAGGTAGTATCAGTTCTTTTTGGGATAGTCAGCTAAATTCTCCCTGAAGCCAACATTAGAACAAGGTCTGAAGGTGACGAGGGAGTGAGTTCCAGTTTAGACTGGACCAGGCAGACGCACCTGTGATGGCAGAAGCCCTGACTCAGGAGAATGCTTTACACCTACCTCTTCTTAGAGGACTTTTGTTTGAGGAATAAAAGAATCATTTTTTAATAGAAGTTTAATTTTCTTATCTATTTGATTAAAAAATGTTAAGTTACATGTACAACTATGCCATTAAAATAGTGCTAAGTATATAACAAATATTTGCTATGTATCATAAAGCCATAAACATTAAAATAATAAAACAGTAAAACCACCCATTTTTACAATGAAACTCTTAGAACCATGGTTAAAATACTCTCTTGCTGTATTTTATTACAACATTTTCTTTTCAGAGACACTTGTTACAGGAATGTTCTAGAGATTCCATCATAGTCTCTATGATGTCAACTAAATTTTCTGATTAAGGAATAATTTATAAACCTCTATGGTATAAGTAGAATGCTATGGTAAAGTAAAGAAAAAGGCTGGAATTTTGGGAATTAAATCACTTGGATGTTTTATACTGGCAAAAAGAAGGGTGTTGTGTGAACTTCATTGTGCGTGAAGCCATTTTATTTTTTTTTCAGAGTTTGTGATAATGGGTGGCGATTTCCAGTAGATGTTGCAAATTTTGCACTAGTACTTTTTATGCCACCAAACTTTATTTCACTAAAAAGTGTTTTAAAAACATAAATTTAGCCACCTCTTTTGTTGGCATAAGCAAGAAGAACATAGAAGTCATTATTTCTCTGGAAATAATTTCTGATCACAGTCCTTGGATATTTTGTCAGGAAAGAAAACTGTTGACTTTGTCTTTTTTAGAGTGCTAGAATTTTTATTTTTCAAGTTCAGTAGCTTGAGTTCATTCTAGTACCATAAAACCATGTTGAATGTTATGAACATGAGCCACAAAAGCACTGTAATAATCTGTAAGGATCTTTACCATATTCTTAAATATGTTATCACAGAGGGTCATTATAAAGCCAAAATCAACCTTGTTAGTGCTCTAACACAGAGAAGGAATGATGCCAGCTCCTGGGGCATTTTATTATGATTTCTGGGGAGGGCAATGGAAGACAATGGGCTGTATAACAGCCAGCTAATGAAACAGAAAGAGTTTGGCCTTCGAGGGCTCCAGTTTTCCTGAGATCTGGAGAAAACACAAACAGCAACAGTGACAAAACAAAATGAAAGAAAGCCTACAAGTTAGAGTGCAAGTAACAGTTGTTGGCAAGCCATCTTCCCACCTCAGGATGCCTTTTTTGGTCCAATTGTGCTCCTGTTTCAACCCTCTCTGTTATAGTAGTTGGGCGGATATGACGTTTTTCCCAGAGGAAAACCCAACTGCTGCTTTCAAGTTTTGCGGCCTTTTTCTAGTGTTTCATAACTCAGAGAAATAACATTGAATTTCATCTTCACTTATTAAACACTGTGAACAAGTTTCTTAATCTTGGCTGTCCATTTGTAAAAAAGTTGGTTTTTTTCTAGGAATTAGGAGCTTGTCTAATTGTGACATGGGAGAAGTCCAATTTAGGGTTTATCCTGATTGATAATGTTCATATTCAGTTGACTGCTGAAAACTATTTAAACGTCATCCTAGTGTTGTCATGAATCTTTGATTTAAATACATTCTTTAAGACCTACCTCACGAGGAATATATTTCTATTACAAAGACATGAGGCTGTACTCTGATTCTATGATGAACTTTCTGTCTAGACTTTATAGAATCAGTTATATCTGGCAAGCTAAGCAGTAACTTGCAGTGTTAGCATGAGATACTGTAGACAGATTTTAAGAGGCCCAGTTGTCCATCTGTTGTCAGAAATTACTACTGTGCTACTCAGATAAGATCACTGAGTGGTGATAATAATCTTAGAGATATTTTAGTAGGTCACCCTTAGCAGAATTTCCCAGGACTGGTCTCTGACATTAGATAGTTGTGCTTTTTCACCATTAATCATTCTGCAAGTTCAGCCAACTGCCTCCCATGTTTAATAGGCTAGGTTAGGTATATCATTATCCATTAGACGGTAAGCAACATTTAGACAAGGATCCTTCTGTCTGCTTACTGCTATATTTATAGCACCTGACGAAGTGTAGCAATGTCATGAGAGTTTGTTGGCTGATTGAATGATCATTATAAAGACATAGGTAGCTGAATAGAATTCTATAATCAGTCCTCTGGAAGAGGTTACATTTGTCAGAGTTGGAGCAAAGACGTGATTTAATTTTTTTGTGATCCAAGCGTCTTGAAGCAAGACTTCTTTTTTTTTTTTTGGCAAAATCAAAACAAAACAAAACCCCAAAACAATTAGATTCCAAACAGTCTAAAGGTCCAGTGGATTTTCGAAACTAATAGAGAATATAAATCATTTTGAATAATAGAATAGGTGGAAATAAGGACAGCGGAAAGATCTTTGAAAATGAGGGTTCTTTTTTTTTATTCATTTATTAATTCAATACATTTTATTGAAGGACTGTTACATTTCACTGTTTTCTAGGAGATTAAAATCAACAGTGCTTTTGCACTACATAGTAAAATATGATTCAAAATCATTTCCACTCTCCTCCCTAAATTTGGTACAGTGCTGTCATTGGCATTTACAAAAAAGGAAGCCAAAGGGCATGACCGTTAGCTCAGTTGGTTAAGAGCGTGGTGCTGCTAACGCCAAGGTTGCTGGTTCGATCCCCGCATGGGCCACTGTGAGCTGCGCCCTCCCTAAAAGAGTCAACCATGCCATTGTAGCATGAAAGCAATGTGTCACGAATAAAATTTTTTTTTAAAAAGAAAGCCAAAAACTAAGTATAGCACACCATGTCTTGGAGGATGTCACGCCGAATAGTAAAAGAGTAATTCCAGAGAATATGCCCAAACAAAGAAAAATAAGAACAAATGAATGAAAGAAAAAAGAGAGAAAGATTTAAGCAAGTTTGGGGGAAGTTGCACAGTATTTCCATAGATTTGCAAGGTTTTATTCTGGTGGTAGTAACAAGTGTTGGTGGTGACGAGAGTGATGGTGGTTGGAGTGCGGGTGGGAGGACTTTTTAAGAAAAGAATACAAATTTGAAAATATGAAATGACTAGGCCTCTCCCAGGATGTGACAGTGAAGGGCCTGGAAACTTAAGCTTCATTCACTTGTAAGTCAGTCAGTTTGTGTCCAAAAGACGTATATCAGTGGATCTGAGGTTTATTTCAGAAGAAGAACTAATCTAGAAATATGTTTTCTAAACATATATGACCAAGGGCTCCTTTTTATTTTTAACTTTTCAAAAACATTTTAATGGGATAACTGTTAACATTTCTAGCAGCTGGTATCTTGCACTACATCCTTTGGGGTACACGGGCAGAGGCATTGCATAGTTTTCAATGCTCACACACTGTGTCTCAGTCCCTCAGCAACAATTTTCATAGTCCTTTTTACAACATAGCATGGCCTGCGGTGTTCTAGGTACTTTCATGTGCCTGCAGCATATTCCAATATAGTAAGGACAACAGCAAAAAAAGCTACAATGACAATGAAGGGGGGGAAAGAGAAAGAGAATCTACTTATTGAATATCTACTATGTATCAGGCATTCTTTGAGGGCTTGACATACTTGTAATATTTAATCCTTGAAAACCTGTGAAACATTTATATTTATATCCCTTATTTTTACAGATAGGATAAGTGAGACTTTGAGAAGTTTATTTCCTAAGGCTGTTGGGCTTGTAAATGAGAACTGTGGAGTAAAAATTGAAGTCTTTTATACCCAAGTCCCTCGTTCCTTCCAGTTCACTAATTGCTTTAAAGGAACACTTATTAGGTGAATTTGCAATCTCCTATAGACAATCCAGAGTCACTATTTTTGTTTGTCTTTTTTTGTAGCAACTGAGTGAATGTCTTCCATATAAAGGGGGTAGTGGTTTTTAAATAATATTGCACAGGGAAGTTCTTAGAAGGTAAAGTGCTTGCTTTGATGAGATTTCAGTAAACACAACTTTTTTTTCATCTTTCCCTTAGGAAACATGCAGTGATTTTCTGGCATTTATGAAAAATGGGAAGGTGTTCTGTCCCCAGGATAAAAGCCTTCTTAAAATCGCTGATGGAACGACCTTCCTCCAGAAATGTGCCAAGTGCAAAATAGTTCTGTGAGTCAAGGTTCTCTTTCTTCTAAGTGTTTGAGTTACCAGCTCTTCTCTGAACTCATAAACTATAATGTGTATCGTTTTATACATTATATTATTATACTCATGGTTTCAGTCTACTATCAAAAACATCTTATATAATAAGAAGGAAACTTGATAAATAATACAGCTGCTGGTCTATGTTCAGCTTTCAAGAGAATAAGAAAGGATCCTTCAACCTTCTTGGAAAAAAAATAAGCATTTTTTGCATAAAAGCATTTATGCATAAAATAATGCATGAAATAGACTGCATTCTTTTTTATTTTCTGTGAATTCTATTTTTATAAATCTAAATGATTCAATAAAAATACTTCATAAACCATTCTGGCACCTCTCATCAGATAAAGTTAGATCAGTGCCACCTGCCTGGAAGGATTTTAATCATCACTCAAGTGGTATCCCAAAACACCCCAGAGGGTCCAGTGTACCTTGTGTAAAACTTAACAGTCTTTTGAGAAGGTAGTTCAATTTGAGTTTCCCGGCTCTGGAAAAAAAAGAAAAGAAAGAAAGTCAGGTTTCTTGGGCCTGTTAAGACCTGACTCTGTTGTACTTTAAGGACTGAGAAAACCCCTGGGGAATGATGCCAGATGTTTCTTGTGGCAGCCAACCAGGAGGGTTTAAGCAGGATGCACTCTGACTCTGAGCTGCCAGTGTCTTCAGACATCTGCGATTAGCTAGGATGAGATGGACTAAGGAGCTGATTGTAGCATTCAGTTCCCTGTAACTCAGACTTAGTATCCCAGAAGTTCACCAGCATTTGTGCATTGCTCCTCAACTTGACTCCGTCTCTTCAGTGACACCCCAAAAGTGGAAGAAGGCTTGAGTTGTCAATTGCAAATCCTCAAGTCTAAGTGTCCTAATGTGTTTTTGAGCAGGAAGGTCATTCTCAATGTCTGACCATTAAAACCTCAACACTGGTACCAAACCGCCACGAAGCTTAGCATTTAAGATAATTATGTGATAATTGCCAGGCTGGTATGTGTCAGTGGATTTAATTTGACCGTCAATAATATTGGGATAATGAAGCTTGGATCACATGTGCTGCTTCTTAGTAAAGAGATCGTGGGGCGATGAAGGCAGGCAGGACAAGATTTAGGATGAGGGAGGCCCAGGGAAAGCTGAAGAATCCTTCCTTATTCTCTTGAAAGCTGAATATAAACCAGCAGTGTATTATTTACTGTCAAGTTTCCTTCTTATTAGATAGTATGTTTTGATAGTAGACTGAAACTATGAATGTAATAAATGTACTGAAAACTAATTTAAAACAAAAATGAGATGACGTATGGCACACAAGTCAACTGCCATTTACCACTTTGAAGTCACTCACTCAATTTTTATTTTTATTACCTATGTAAATTATGTTGGATTAAACTTGGTTTTTGAACCTGGAAAGAAGGAGATGATACAAGACATAAAAGCTATCCTTCAATTGATTAATTTGCTCTGTGGGTCCTTAGATGTTGGAACCAGGACCAAAACCAGCAGGTAGATTTTGGTGCAATGTGAATATTGCCTTAGAGAGAGCATTCCAACAATGATACAGATAGCTTTCAGAGTTGGTGACCACCTGGATGTCGGACGTATTTTAGGGATGGGGGGGTCATCCGTTAGGAAGTTACAGGTGGAGATTCTTGCCTTCAATAGAACCACATCTGAGGTATTTTTCAGAAGAGAGATTTGTGGTAGTTGGGTTCATTCCTGGACATACATCCACTTCTGACATGCCGAGGAGACCATTCAGAATTAGGTTGGCTATGTGTGCAGTTATCCCTAGAAATTGGGCAAGCATGTCTAAGCTATGCTATTCCTTGCTCTCTTCCAGGGAAAAAGAAGCACAATCCCAGAAAAGGGCCAGGCATTTAGGAAGAGCCATGGCCCCTACCCCAGCAAAGGTGAGACTCTCGGGAGTCAATTTGCCGTGTTTGCTTTCGCGATTGTGTTTGATTCTATGTAGAACTGTGTGTTCCCCAATTACTAGGTCGTACCTGTTGTGAAGCCAGCTACTAAGTAGGGAGTGAACATGTCTTTGTCCACAGGTGAGCTAAGTATCTGGTACAGGTTGTCCGTAGGCCCAACCCATGATCCAAGTCTATGAAAACATTCTGGGCCCTGGCAGATGCTAAGAGGTAGAGTAAGCCAGTGTGGTGTCTGCCTCCCATGGCCATTTCAGTGTGGTGTCTGCCCCCAGTCCCATCTTAGCTCCGACAACAGCCTCCATGGGACTGGAGAAAGAACTGAGTTCAAATTTCAGAGTTCTTATTTATCGTGTGTGTCACTTGGACAATTGATGTGTCTCTAGGCCTCAGTGTTTTTTCATCTGCAAAATGGAATGTGGAGCAAATGAGAAACCAAGTTTCAAAAGCTAGCTACAGTGTTTAGCACGTGTTAGTAGGCATTTGACTCATTTTATTTCCTTTATCTTTTCTTTTTTTTTACTTTTCTAAGATCTTCCCTAATACCTAAATTGTTCCCCTAAATCAACGAGTTGCTTGTTATTATTATCTATTTTCCAGATTGGGATTCAGGCCAACATTTGTTGTAGTAAAGTGTTGTGTAGTAAAAAAATATTTTTTTAATAAGAAATGATCTAAAATGAAAGAAATTGCACAGATGCAACCCACCATACAACCATTTTGTTTTATAAATATATTTTTTATTGATGTAAAAATTTTTATTTATACAAAAAAGAAATAAAAATTCTAGGCCCAGATTGGGAGAAATGTTCTGGTCCACACTGTTTCTCAATAAATTATCTACAAAGCTGGGGCTATCACCAGATATCCTGACTACTCACATCACTCCAGGGCTCCTATGTAGTTTCTTCTCCAATACCTGTTTTCTCTTCCTCCTTTCCTGTCTGTAACATGTAATTAAAATAATCAGTCAGGGCAGGCACACCCAAATTACTTTAACATCCCTGATCTAACCAAGCTACCATCTTCCTTGTCAATGTTACTTAGGAATGTCTGAGAACCTCAGCCTCCGCAGAAAATCTAGTCAACCAAATTCTTTGCCTGGGCTCAACCAGTCTCACTTTTAAAACAGTAACACCCTCACCACTCAATTAGTCAATGTGCAAATCCTTATCTGAGCAAAAGGGAGCTGCTTCTGTGCTCTGCAAAATCTATGGGGGTCAGAAAAGTTTACTAGTAACTTTCAAATTAGCCTGTATTTGTCCCATTTAGAGAGTGCTCATGCTATAAGATTTAGTCTCCCCCTTACCCTCTTGTTTTGTCCTTTATGAAAAACTGATACATCAATGGTGTTTTAAAATATACAGGAAAATGACATAAAAATAACACACACACACACACACACACACACACACACACTCCAATTCTAACAAACTTGCTATTTAAAAAATATTACTAGTCAGATATTTTCATATGTTGACACACATTTACTGAATTTTAACCAAATAGGATTTTTAAGAAATAAAATTACAAAATTTTAAGACATTTTACCTCTCTGTTAACATTTTATGCCTGAGTTAGAATTTTCTCCTCGAAGTAAAGTTTACAGTTACATGTTTTGCTCCCTAAGAAACTACTTCCTTATAAGTTAAGGCAATTAATATTTGGCTGTGCCTTTTAGGTGATTTCTGTCTAGATTTTTACTTTTCTGTGTTTAGAAGGATTCCTGCTATTACACTACGTTTTTTTGTTTGTTTTTGTTTGCTTTTTTGGTGTTTTTCTCACCACTATAAAAGAGAAAAAAATCTACCTACTTTTTTTGCTTAGATTCCTCCCATCAAAAATTAATCCTGACACTCACTCTCAGAATCAGGTGTTCTACCTGTTCAAGAATTTTTGTCCTACACATATCCTCTCTCTCTCTTGCATCAATTTCTTCTTCACTAGTATGTTATTCTTTCACATTCCAACTCTAATGTCCAATCCATAAATAAGTCTTGTTGGTCTTCTCTAAAGTATATCCCAAAGTTGACCCCTTTTCACCATTTCCATTTCAATCATCCCAGTCAAATTTCTCTTAATTTCTAATCTCTAACATATTCAGTCCATGTCTAGAAACTTTTGTTTTTTAATTGATTAATTGATTCATTCAGCATTTCTCATTGATTTAGGAAGCCAACTTTGTAGAATATTAACATATGATGTGTACATATGTGTTTTGGAGTTCCCTATTCTGTTCAGATTAGTTTATTGCTTTAGTAATTAATAAGGCAAGTTTCCTTTCTTAGTTCATCTTTTTCAAAGTTGATTTACCTATGCATAGGTATATATATTTTCGTATATTAAAAATAAAAAAATTACTGAGTTTATGAAAAAATCCAACTTGAGTTTGGGAACCCGATGTGACTAGGGATACAAATAATTTATAAATTAATTTGAGTAAAATTGACTTTTTATAATATTAACTTGCCCTACTCAAAAGCACAGAATACCTTATCATTAATTTCTATAATTTCTGTGTACTTTATGAAATTTATAAAGTGTTTTCCCAAGTGATTTTCATAATTTTTGTTAATACCTAGAAAATGTGTAAATGTATTGCTATTTTGGTTGGTATTTTGTTGTTTATGGGATTTCTAGCTGGTTATTGTTAGTGTAGGTAAATTGTATTTATTTCTACAGATTGATCTTACATTGAGCAACTTTACAATATCTTCTATTCTGATAATTTATTTATTCATTCTATTTTTTTTCTTGGTAGTTAATCACATTACCTGCATATAATAGGAGATAATAATTTTATAACTTCCCTTTCAATCTTTATTTCTTTTTCTTTCCTTATATGATCAGCCAAGATCTACAGTTCAGCAGTTAAACACTAGTGATGATAATGAACATCAAACTGCCTCTCTCCACTATATTAGAGACTCCGTCTAAAGTTTCCCCATTAAGTATAATGATTACTATACGTGTTTTTTTCTATGAATTTTACCAAGTTTAGGAAGTTCTTTTATGGTCTTAATCTTCTGAATATTTTGATTATTATCAAATGCCTTCTCTGCAACTATTGAAATAATTTTCTGATTTTTTTCTTTCAGTCTATTAATGTAATAAATTTCTTGATAAATTTGCTAATGTTAAGCAATTGTTTTCTCAGGGTAAATAATAATTAACCATAACGTATTTTTAATATATTGTTGAATTTGGATAGTTAATATTTTATTTAGAAAACTTAAAACTATTTTTACAAGTAAAAAGAGTCTACACTTTTCTCTTTTGATTTATTCTTATTTGGTTTAGGAATCAATAGACAATTACCCTGAAGTGGTTGCATTTCAGGCTATGGCTGAATAAGGAGATCAGCAAATCTTTTCCCCAAAATGCAACTGTAAATCTAGACAAATTGACCAAAACAATCATAGCACTCTGGAAATTGATGAGCAGCCTATATCAACCTGACAAACATTTAAGCTTGAAAAACTGCTAAACTTTGGATTAGAACAATAGGGATCTGCAATATTCTTGCTTAGGGATACTCCCATCTTCCCATCTTCCCCCTGTTGCTTGCTTGGTATGGAGGGTCTACCAAAGCAGGGCACACGATGAGGGTCAGCAACTGACTGCCATTGTTGAGAGGGGCTTTTACCTAATTTGGGGTAGTAGGCAACAGTCATACTCAGAGATGTTTTTGGCGAAAGTTATGACCTTCACCAAGAGTCAGGAGGAGGGCCTGAAGTTAGAGCATAGTAGGGGCAAATACACGAGGTCTGACAGTTAAGTTTATGAACCTGTTGCAACAATGTTGCTAACCTTTTTTGATATCAGAGGGATTACTCATTATGAATTTGTACCAACTGGACAAGCAGCTAACCAAGTTTACTATTTGAAAGTACTGAAAAGTCTGCATGAAAAAGTTAGACGACCTGAACTTTTCGCCAACAATTCATGGCTCTTGCATCACAACAATGCACCAGCTCACACAGCACTGTCTGTGAGGGAGATTTTAGCCAGTAAACAAATCACTGTATTGGAACACCCTCCCTACTCACCTGATCTGGCCCAATGACGTCTTTCTTTATCCAAAAATATTGAAAGGAAGACATTTTGATGACGTTCAGGACATCAAGGGGGTACATACAACAGCTCTGATGGCCATTCCAGAAAAAGAGTTCCAAAACTGCTTTGAAGGGTGGACTAGGCGCTGGCATTGTTGCATAGCTTCCCAAGGGGAGTACTTCGAAGGTGACTATAGTGATATTCAGCAATGAGGTATGCAGCACTTTTTCTAGGATGAGTTCGCAAACTTAATTGTCAGACCTTGTATTTCTAGCTAAGTTTTCACACCTTGGCAGCAGAGGCCAAAGAGAGACCAAGCAATTCACATACTCCTGGCTGACCATAAGGCTGTGCACCATCACTTAGAAGACATTTAAAAAATCCCAATGGAAAACAAATGCTGGGGTAAATATAAAAATGGCCTGAACTTTATGTGCCCTGCCCAATATACGCAGGACCATATGCAGAGGGTAGAATCCCTACTGGCTTGAGGTGTTTGAGCACAAACTGTCAGTCACTGACCTACCGCTAAATTATACAAAAACAGGGGGAAAAACCTAGAAAGCCAAGCTTTAAAAAAATAAAAATTAAATAGAAAAATTATAAATATTTTCTTAGCAGACACATCAACAGCTACATAGCAAGAAAGCAAGAAATGAGAGATTTAGCCCAGTCAGAGATATAAACAAAAATAAAACAGCAAAAATAATCTTCACAGTAAAATAATAATCCTGAGTCACTACAATATATTGTCCAAAATGTAGTTTTCAACAAAAATATGAAATATACAAAGTAATAGGAATGTATAACCCATACTCAGAAAAAAAAAACCAAACTCAATGGAAACTGAGTGTCTTCAGGTTAGATTTGACAAACAAAGATTTTGAAGCAGCTATTTAAAAAGTGTCAAATACTGAAGAAAC